TGGGATTTCATTCTACGCTGTTCTGTCTCGTGTCACGATTAGACTGCGTTTTATACTTCTACGCGTATAAATAGTAACTGAAGTAGCAACAGAAATTCATCTAGTCATTTTTACATTTCTATAATGATAGCTAAAGAGAGGTAAAAGATAAAAACGCACAAAAATCTGCAAGACAAATAAAATGAATATGAAAAGTTTCACGAATACGAAAAATGTAAATTTTCATTCGATTTCATGGTATCTTGCGATTGAATGTTCGCTACATTATTTAAAAATCCGATGCCCCTTCGATATTTCGTTTTCACCGATTTACCGATTCATTTTCGCACGAAATTAAATGCGATGTCTTATCGCGCGCGACGGAAAATAGTCAATTTCACGAAATTTCTGCATGAATATGCGCATACATTTATTATTGTGTAATCAAAAGATATACTCCGCGCACGTCAAAACCAAAGAGTTTGACCATTAACTTGCCGAAACGAGGGACGAACGCACACACGCATAAAAGTAAACCAACATTCGGAATTATTTTAGATTTCCAACGCGGGTAACAAAAGTGTTTCGATAACACGCGTTTGTAAAATTTATTATTTTCTCCTGTTTGAAAATAAAAGCTGTTGGTAGACTGCAGATTGTCATGCGTTCGTGGGAGATTAAAAGTTACGAAAATTCACGTTTCGTTACGTGTAATATGCAAGATACTAGAATATTTATTATAATATATAGTAAATGAAACAAACTGCTTTCAACCTTCCATTTTCTTTAATCACTAGACAGATGTTTCTTTAAAATTTCCTTAAATTTTCATTATTCTGATTTTAGATTTAACAATACCCTGAGATCCATTTCTTTAATTACTAAATAAACTAATTTCCCTTCGCTTTTTAATCACGCTGAAAATTTGAATTTAAAAGCGCAGAAAAATCCGCGTAATAAAATTTTATTATGTCCAACTTTCGCGCGATGTTGCATTTAATGGCGGGTGGAAGAGAGGGGAAGGGAACAGCGATTGAATATTGAATTAAAAGCACGTGTAACTTTATCGTTACCCGATACTTTGTTTCTTGTTATCAAATTTATAGCTCGTGAATACATTATTGAAAAGCGTTGGTGTTGCGTACAGTCTGCTGGATTAACAATTACCCGGGTGTATAGGCGGGTTGTCTATTGATTGGGAACCACATTTTTCGAGTCAATAATTTTGAAAAGCTGTTGCTCGACGAACAAACGAAAGGTAAATTGTTTGTTCTACTTTCACCGGCCGATATATATGTGTACATATCCGCTGGAAAATGTGATAATTTAATACTGCTGGAAAACGCCCGCCCATTTGATCTTTCATTACAATTTTCTCTTATTATCCGGTTTATTAACCTCGCGGAATTGTAATATCCATATCACGTAATAAGCTAATAATTAAATGCTTCGATACTTGTAGAAGGCAACGCTGTTATTTTTATGATAAAGATAAATGTAGAAATGTGTAGACAATAATAGTACAAATTTGTCAATAAATAATATAAATGCATAAATTTTTAGAGATTCCCCCTTGACTCCTTCATTCTTGATAAATATAACTAAATAACATTTTAATATCATTAACGTGATACTAAATATTTTTTACTCCTCAGAAATACAATTGTAAACAGATTTTCATATCTGAGTACAATTCACAAAAATATTTATCACATTCTATATTGTTACTATACGTTTGAGGAATGATTAACGATTTCTTTCATTATCTGTCTAAAAACCAATTTCGCTGATAAACTTATAGTACAGCGAATGCCAGAGATTATTTCGATAATAATTTCCTTCGTTCTTCGTTCAATTTTCAATGTCCCTTTCACTTTTCGTGGAATGAAATACATCAACGACACCGAGATTTTCATAAAGTATTATTCGTATCCCCATAGCAGGGGAGAAGAAAAAAAAAAAAAAGCGGAGAATAACGATCATCGCGGTGAGTACTTTAATCCATAACCCTGAACATTAGTTATGCGAGTGGTTATCTCACTTCTCTACGAGTTGGAGTAATGTTATCTCTGCCTTTTTACACTGGACGTTTCCTCCTGCGAATTTACCCTTTTAATCCCTTACACTTTCCTCGAAATTTTCAGTTCCCCGTTCCTCCGTAACTTTGTATAACGTTTCACGAATTTCAATTACGCGTATCGCACGCAACGACAAAATGAGGCCTCTTTTCTCAAAGAAAGTGAAACCTTTAATCATGTTTACGATAACACATTAGTGATAAAATACTTTTGTTTCAACAGCTCGTGTGAGGCGAAATTCTTTTTATTATATTCTTTTATTTTACATTTGAAAGAAATAATGGAAAAATCATGTTTGAACTTAATTTATTTAAATTTAATTATTAAGTGTTAATTTTTTTCTTATATTTTGATTATTTAAAAAAATCGTAGGGGAAGAAACCCTTTTTGGCCAACCCTATATAACGAGTTCCTTGTTTCTTTCTCGCACCATTTCTATGGATGATTGTTATATATTATTAATAACAACGAGTTCAATGTAAAAATAACAGGACCTTCGATTTCATATAATCTACGATCTTGAAGAAAGTTGAAAAATTTTACACGTTGAAAAGTAATTAGTTTAAAATGAATTATGAATGAAATGAATTGAAAAGTAATTAATATAAAATGAAATGAATCGTGAAAAAGGAATAAAACTTTCAGTTAGATATACATATTATAATATATAAAATTACGAATAATTTGTCACAAACAAAAACGATTTCGTATAACCTGTACCCCTCTTGGCCAGTGCAAATTTTATTCAATTGCTCAGTTACGAATCCAAGAACACCTCGTATCATGAAAAATTTGTTATGGTGAAATCATTACCAAATTTAATTAAAAAAAAAAAGAAAGAAAGAAAGAAAAGGCATTTCCTTAGAGATAGTAAGATTCTCTTTAAAAGGAGAAGATAAAACGAAAATCTGGAGGAGCAGAATTTTCCATGCTGCTCTGTACCAGCAAAGATAAAGCATCCGAAGTGTGCGCCAGTAAAACTTTTCGACGTTGCTTGCTTTGCAGATAACATTCCCTCAAGAAACCTGATGTCTCTGGAAATTAAACTCTTCTTCGAGCCTCCGTTTATGTTCACCGTCATTTTTCACCGTGGTTAATTATTATCAAATCCATGAAATAATGTACTGTCGTCTGTAGAGAATTTTTCCTTGTACAATAAACAAAGAAAGTGGGGAACGTTTCGGCAATTTAATCGAAATTGAATATTTCTGCAAAATAATATTTTATATATAACGTAATAATGTTATAATAACGTAATCTTTAGACATAGATGAAAAAAAAAAATGTCAGTGCTTCGATTTAGGTGAAACTTTTGAAGATAGGTTTATTTAGGTGAAAATAATGTTTGGAAGGATAACTCAAAGTTAAGAAACTTCTTCAACGTTTCATTTATTTTCAATAAACAACGTTGCAAGCATCGATGTAGAAGTTTAAGACTGCTATTGGTATATAACTTTCCTTGTTAAACATTTTCTTTTATCGACAATGGTAACTATTCGTTGCTCTTGTTTAACATAAATATTTTCACTTTGCAAAATTACTGATATTACTAACATACTATAATAATAATGTTATTTATAATAATATTATTTTGTGCCACTGTGTGATATTTTACATTGCTTTACTATTTTTTAAAATACTGCCACGTATCAGTTTATCCTTTTTCTTTTCCTTTTTATCAAACAACAATCGAATGATTTAAAGAGATACAATTAACACGAGAATTAGCGTGCAATACACAAGAAAATATTGATTTACGTAGAAAACATATCGTTAATTAACTGCCACAGGAATATACTACAGTATCACGCGACTTTCGAGTCGTCAAAAATCCTTCTATTAAGCATTCCTTTAATCCGCAAAGAATCCATTTTTAAAATTTCAATCAAACCGGGAGGCACGGACGGTTTTTGTACGTTTCGGCGTGTTTCTAAATTAACGAATCCGCCTAAATTGATATTCGTGTCTATTGATTGTTGCGATGTATTCAAAAGAAGAATTAAACGATGATATCGACAGAAAATCAATTTAAGATATTAAAATATGCTTTTTTCAGTGGTTTGCGAAAGAGGGCAATCCGTTTCGCAATTCTCGGATCGCGCTTTTTATATACGTCGCTCTTTTGTCAAACATCCATACGTTTTATTTTGGAGATTTTCGAGCTATTTCAGGGCTTCCCTGCTCCCCTCTCCCCCCCCCCCCCCCCCCCCCCTTTCTCCCTGACATATTTCAATTTCCACGGCATTTTCTATTTTTCGTTATCGTTAACGTCGAAACATTTTTTGCACGATGAATATTAAAAATAATTTTCACACGTCTGTCGTTACGTCGTGTAACCTTCACTCCGTATAAATTATGTATTATAAAATCTTTTCTCCCGCAGTCTCGCGTGTTTTTCTCACTGGTGCGGTGACGTATCGAATTTGTTGAAAACCACCTGTAATGAACTAGCCAAAAATATGAGAATCAGTTTGTCCGGCGATTGCGCTAAACGACTGTTAACGCGACAAATAACTGCGGTGCAACAACGAATGCATCCGTCTGTCTGATTTAAACGCGTCACGATAATAACAACGAACAGCAATTATACACAAAAATCTAGAACGAGATACACCTTGACTCGTTTAAATAAATTAAATCGTTGATAAAAAGGAAAACAAGACAATGTAGCCGTTATTATTAATTGAAACGACGATTGAGAAGAAAAAAGAAGAAAAGAATACATACATTGTCGCAACGAACATGCACGTGTGTTCGATGAATCGAAATAATTGCGATTAAATTCCTCTCAAAAGAAAAACGAATCGGCTATTACAACGAATATGTATGTTCATTCGATTAATTCAGAAAGTGAACAATTAATTCAAGTGAACACGCGTGCAGGTCCGTCCGATTGGAACAACGATCAAGTTTTAAAAGGGAAATGAATCGATTTTGTTGCAGTGACGGGGCTCGAGCCAGACTTCGTATACCCGTTGGAGAACTTAACGATCTCGCAGGGTCGAGACGCAACCTTCACCTGCGTGGTGAGCAACCTCGGTGGATACCGGGTGAGTCCTTCCTCCTCCGCGAGCGGAGATCACTCTGGCGGCGCCAAGGCCCGGGTAACTATTTTACCATTAACCTGTGTCCGCCTGTAATGGACCTTATCTACTACTACTACTACCTACTACTACTACTAACCTACTACTACTACTACTACTACTGCTACTACTACTGCTACTACTACTACTACTACCACCACCACTACTACTATTACTACTATTACTACTACTGCACTACTTATATGCGCGTGTGCCTGCACCTCACAGCACTGCATTTAACTGCACCACTGCCAGCTATGAAAAAGAAAACCACCGCCAGCAGCCGCCACCATATCATACCAAAGCATCTCTCTCTCTCTCTCTCTCTCTCTCTCTCTCTCTCTCTCTCTCTGTACGACATCCATTTTCACACCCATCAGCCGGCGTGTGTACATATATGTATATTAGAGGTTCGTATTTCACGTGCGTGTAAATACACGTGCGCGCACACGTGTACACTTTCGATCCGTGTAATATTCGATGTACGATCCCGCTCGTTTACGTTTGTTTCGCCGATTAATAATGATTCAACGTTTAGTTGTAAAAATTTACTCGTAAATTAACATGACGGGGTATCTAATCCTAGTTTATTATTTAATTTTATTACATTTTAGTTTAAAAATTTGCTCGTAAATTAATATGACGGGGGTATCTAATCCTAGTTTATTATTTAATTTCATTACATTTTAATTTAAAAATTTGCTCTTAAATTAATATGACGGGGTATCTAATCCTAATTTATTATTTAATTTCATTACATTTTAATTTAAAATTTTACTCTTAAATTAATATGATAGGGTATCTAATCCTAGTTTATTATTTAATTTTATTACATTTTAATTTAAAAATTTGCTCGTAAATTAATATGACGGGGTATCTAATCCTAGTTTATTATTTAATTTCATTACATTTTAATTTAAAAATTTATATCATTAATATTAATTTAAATTTCACCTACAATTAATAAATTCAATATAGTAGTTATTTTTACTTTAATAAAATTTAATAATTATTAACTTATAATATAAACTTAACCTGTTGCTGCCACTTTAATTTATCATTATTATTTTTAATTCCCCTATTTAATTTTCAGTAGATTATATAGAATTTTTTATTAATTTTATTTATATATTATATATATTATATTATATTTAATATTAATTTAATTAATAATTTAACCGTAATTATATTTTATTTTTATTATTAATATTAATAATTCATTTAAAATCAAAATTCAATATCCAATGTACAAAAATCGCAAAATCAGAAAATCGCGTGTCCGCGTGTGTTTGAGTATACAGCCGCTTGCTCGAGACAGATATCGTGATTGTTTCAAAACTGAAAATATTTAATGACGGAAGAAAGGCGTGTGCAAAGTATCGTGATACAACCAACTGGTCGTATCACGAAATGGTGGCAGGTGGAACTAAAAATTTTATTACCTAGCTACAAATGTATATTAAAAGTAGAAATATCCTGGAACTCTCGAGCAGGTGTATACTCGTCGAATATAAAGTGTCGTGTTCCTTACAACTGCCAGAGGAAATCTCGATCTAAATTAAGATGGCATTTCCTATGAGCCTCAGACTCACGCGAGTCAGATGTATTTATACTGATATAGCGGAGAAACATATTCATGCTTTTCTGTGCAGCCTGTTTGACGTGTAGAAAACTAGAAATATCTTTCGTTGAGTCAAGAATCCTCGGAGCTAAAAAATATATTGGAAATGTTAATTGTCAGATTAAGTTGCAGTACGTGATTTGAAGTGATTTTAGTCGAGCGAAAGATGGGGGGAAACAACAAACAAAAGAACTAAAACTGAGAGTCAGGAGAAATCTCAGAAATAAGTTACAAAAATATTTATAAAGTTTCTTTATACACGTTACAATATTACATGTACGATATTTCTTAATACACGTTATTAATATGCGTGTCTTTATTTGCGTGTACCAATTTACTTTCATAATTTGTAAAAATAATTTCCCCTTTTATTTCTCACAAGTCACAATTTTCGTGCTATTTACTAAAATATCAGTGCACGACTGAAGCAAACAAGTTATCCCATAATCGGAGAACACGGATCGTTAACCCCTTGATACGCGTCGTGCACACGTGTATTTCAGTGCACGTTCAACGTCGATCCCTAATATACGTACACGTGTACGCACAGAACCGCTGCACACGAACCCAGCCCGCGTGATTCAAACTTCTCGAGCATAGACTTTCTTCCTCTTCCTTCCTTCCTTCGCCATCGTTCTCATTCCTTACGGCTTCTCTCTTACCGGGAAGGTGGTTCTCCCGTCCCCCTCCCCCTCTTTTGATAATGAGACACGTGAAAATAAAGAAAGATAAAGAAAACAGGGGGAAACAGCTAGAGAACACGTACACTGGCGCGAAACGAAAGGGGAAACGAAGGGAGGAGAAAAGTCTCGAAACGAAAGGGAGAAAGAATAGCTTGCAGAATAGCTTGGCGAGAAGTTCGCATCGTGCACATTGTCTCTCCTCCGCTGTGTACACGCACGATGACGACTATGACACCAGACCGCGTGTTCCAGGCGTAGTTTAGAGCGTTCGGCCTTTTCCCTTCGACCGTGTTTCCTCCTCGGTTCTTGCGCTTTACAGAGTGTTTCGCGATAAACGTACAGGGTGTCAAGAAATTATATATCAGCTTTATATTATATATTATTATTATTATTATTATATTATATTTATTTATATTAATATAATATATGTTATATTATATTATATTTATTTATGTTAATATAATATATGTTATATTATATTATATTTATTTATATAAATATAATATATATTATATTATATATAATATGTAATATATATTATATTATATATTATATTATTTATATAAATATAATATATATTATATTATATTATATTTATATTTATATTTATTTATATTTATTTATATATTTTATATTATATTTATAATTATATTTATATTTGTATATATTTATATATATTATATTTATATTTATATATATTTATATTTATATTTATGTATATTTCTATTATTATATTTATATACATATTGTATTACATTAAATATTATATTTAATTATATGTCACCTCAAAGGAGACCATAGAAAAATTTGACCTTAAAAAATCCGATCAAGGTCAACGCTGCGGTCGACAGGATCTTCACCGATCCGAAGGCGTCGAGAATAGAATCACGCCTACCACGAAGGTCGTGACATATAATTTCTTGACACTCTGTACAGACAGGCTGGTTAAAGTCGATATTACATATATTATAGCGTGAGGTAATACCTAAACACGTATAGACGGTGTTGTATCAGAGTTCACGGGGTGTATCAGAGTTTACGAGTGTTGCTCGAGGTCGAGGATCATTATCCGGCGGTATTAACCGAGAGGATATCGTCCCTTGCCATTCTAAGAGGCTTCCTCGCGTGTGCTTCGGGGCTAATTACCCGGAATTTCGTTCGTTTTTCACAATGTAGCTCGAGCGAGTTCAGCATTGTTTCGATAACGTTCCCAAGGTTGCTCGAGTCCGTAAATTCCGTTTTAACTTTCACTTTCCGACCAGACTTGCGACAGCTACTTCCAATCGTTCTGAAACACTCTGTAGAAATCGTCTTCGCGAGGCACTGGTAAAAAGTTCGTGGAAAATTTGTTGCGTCAATTGTTTATTTCAATTTTTTGTCCATGGTTGCTCACGAAAGTATTCGAACGTTGGTTATTTTATAATTTCTGGATAATTTCGCGATTGCAATTCATATAGGAAATATTGCAAACGTACGCTTAGTAAAAACTTCGTAACATAACATGAATAACCATCTTGAATGTATAATGAACATTAAATACAATCCCACATTTTTTTATTTGCGATGTCTGCGAAATATATTTGTTCTAAACTTGACCAATATTCATCAAAAATTTCCCAAATGTCCGAATACTTTCAGTCAGATCAACTACCGAGATTATACCGAGATTATCATCCTTGAAGCAATAACCAATATTATTGATAGACGTGCAAAGACAACCCTTTCGTGCATCGTCATTTACAATAAAAAAATCATCTTTTTCATAGTATTCTCTTTGCACGCTACATTATTCATCACATCAATGATTTCTGATCTATTTATCTCGAGAAATATGATGTTAATATCATGTTAGAAGTTCGCTAGAAATTTTTAATATTAACTCGTTAGTATCGTACAAACGATTCGCTTTCAACGTGGCTTTGAAACTCTAACCACAAACATCATTCATAGAAGAAAGTAATATATTCCACGAACTTTTTACACCTCGTATTTTACGTTGGAGACTTAATCGCGAGGAATCGATGTGAATTGGCCCTCTGATCGCTGTTAGGTATCGACACCGAGGTTAGCATGTGCTTATTCTTAGACTGTTTCATTAGAGTTTCTTTGACATGCTTCTGTCAGCATTGAGATTAAACGTTGGGCCAGCATTTGTTCGAAGAATGCCGTCGTCGTTGAGACAGTCTGAAAGACATCTTCAAGAAATAGCGGTAGCTTGAACAGTAGATTACACAGAAATCGGAACTCATAGTTAATTGATGGAATTAGATGGATAACGTCAGCAGAAAGTTAGCAACTAGTAAAGTCAAATTGCCAACGTAACTCGAGCGCTTTTTTTTTCAATGGTATCGTTGTGTTGTACAAAAGTAATCCTTCTCTTAAGCTTGCGCTGCAACACGTAGAGAGATGAACATTTGACAGAAGTTTACGAGGTTTAAAAAAAATAAATAAAAAACCGTGCGCCCATATAATAATATCGAAAGGGAAAAAAGAGAAGGAAATATAGGAGAGAGAATGCTAGGCCATAGTATTTAGTGTGCGATTAACGAAGATAGAAAATCAAATATTTGGCGCGAACGTAAACGGGATAAACAATAAATACGCGGTGTTTGGCAAGAAACGGATCAACATTGCTCGAATTGGCAATATACGTAATTCAAATATTTACGCAGTCGAACAGATGAAATTATTAAACAATTATTTGCGTAGTTTAGTTG